TGGTGCTGCTTGAAGATGTGGCTGGTGCCATTTTGTGCCTTCCCGTTCCTCTCTTACGTGGCTTGTGGTTGCTCGTCGTCGCTGGTGCGCCGTGGTGCGTTACGCTAACTTCGAGTGACTCGTCGCTCTCCGCTCCCGTCGCCTCGGCTTCACGCTCAGTGCGCCCTCCGTCTTTTTTTTTTTCGTTCTTTCTTTTTTCAAAACTTCACTGTTCGGGGGAGCACATCTCAAAAACTTCCACCCCAGGAAAGAAAAAGTCGAACTGTTACAGAAGATTGTTTTATATATAATTAACAACGCTATTTTTTTTTTTTAATTAATCTCCCCTACACTCTTTTTAACTGTTTAGTTCAAGGAAAACGGGACGTGACCTGAAGAAAGGGATGCTGAACAGGACTTGCTCTTTCTCAGTTTGGAGAGGAGCCGAGACCCACCTGTTCGTTTCGCTGGAAATGCGCCGCGGTCGCGCAGAAGATTTTCTTCTCCAACAACGCCGTTTTTCATTTATTTTCGTCGTGCACGCGCGAAAGAAATGCCTCTTTTTAACGCACGCCGTTTTAATTTCATAACCGGACGCCAAAAAGTGAGGCGATGGAAACCGTAAAGAAGCGGTGTGGCGTTGTGTGAAAACCACCGTCGCGCCACCACCTTCCGTTATTAACAGTGGCGTACCTTCCCAGTCCCCGAGCGGCTCCTTAGAAGAGGAGAGCATATCGCACAGCGGCATTTTCGGGCCTTTGAAGTTTTTCTTCAGTGCCGAGAATGCAACGGATTGTTTTTCCTAGTGTGTGTGTGTGTGTGTATCTGCGCTGCAACACTGCTGTATCACGTGAAGGATCAGTCGCACACGCAGTGATTCCAATTTCTCTCCTCCTATTCCGGTAGCAGTGTTGCTTTCCTGCTGTTTACTCACGCGTGTTTTCTTGTTTGCACGCAGAGCCCTTCATTAAGAGTCCCATCTGGACCATCGCGCAGTGCCGTCTAAGAAGAAATCGTAGTGGGAAACTCACAGCCCGAACTCTGACTTCAGCCACGCTCTTTTCGAGGCCTTTTCACATTTTCATTTAACGAAACCCACTAGACATTTCTTATCATTTTTGAGAAGTGCACTCGCGATGGAGGAGAACCAGGCCAACGCTGCGGAGGAGGCGACGCAGACCGGCCCGTTGTCGCGCAGGGAGCGCAAGACGATGGAGAAGCGGGAGAAGCAGGCCGAGGAGCTGCGCCAGCTGAGCAAGAAGGCGAATGCTGTCAACGGTGACATGGACAACCCGTTCTCCGTAACCATGGAGACGGACCAGGTAGCGGAGGGGTCGCGCAACATCACCTTTAACAAGGTGTCTGTCTCCGTCAACGGCAAGACGTTGTTCAAGGACGCCTCGGTGAAGCTGTCGGCTGGGTCGCGTTACGGGCTGATGGGGCCGAACGGTCGTGGTAAGTCAACCATCCTCCGTCTTTTGGCAAGCCGCGAGCTGCCGGTACAGTCGAACTTGGATCTGCTGCTGGTGGAGCAGGAACAGGAGTTCACGGCGTCGGAGCTGAGCGCGGTGGAGGCGGTGCTGCAGAGCCACAAGAAGCAGAAGGCGTACAGCCTAGAGGCGGCGGAGTTGCACGCGAAGGTGGAACTGACCACGGCGGAGATGGAGCGTCTACACTTTCTCGAGGAGGAGCTGGACATTATGGGCGCCTCGCAGGCCGACGCCCGCGCTCGTCGCATCCTCTTCGGTCTCGGCTTCCCCACGGAGTGGCATGAGCGACCGACGAGCAGCTTCAGCGGTGGTTGGCGGAAGCGTATTGCGCTGGCATCTGCGGTGTTCATCGAACCAGATGTACTCATGCTGGATGAGCCGACCAACCACCTGGACCTCAACGCCGTCATTTGGCTCGAGTCTTACTTGGTCAAGGCGTACAACGAGTCAGCGAAGCGCCCCAAGACGCTCATCGTCGTTTCGCACGACGCCGGCTTCCTGGACGAGGTGTGCACGCACATGGTGCACGTGGAGAACTACCTGCTCAACTACTACCGTGGCAGCTACAGCGACTTCGACTCCCAGCTGCAGCAGCGCCATCAGGAGCTGGATAAGAAGTACGAGTCGGTGATGAAGACGATCCGCGACAAGAAGCGCAACGGCATGTCGAACGCGCAGGTGGATGTCTGGGTCAAGGACCAGGTGAATGCGGGCCGCCTGGATCCGCAGTTTCTGGAGAAGCGTCGCGACTATGTAGTGAACTTCCCTTTCCCCGACCCACCGGAGCTGCGCGACGGCTGCGTGTGCAAGTTGGAGAACGTCGCTTTCAACTACCCCAACGGTCCTGTCCTCTTCGAGAACGTGAGCTGCGCTCTGTGGACGGACAGTCGCATCACGCTGTGCGGTCCCAACGGTATTGGTAAGAGTACGCTGCTCAACCTGATGACAGGTGTGCTGGAGCCTACGGCGGGCTACATCACGCTGAACCGCCAGGTGCGAATTGGGCGCTACAACCAGCACTTTGTCGACAAGCTGCCGCTCGAGAAGACACCGGTGGAGTGCATCCAGGCGTTAGGCATTCCTGAAGAGGACAAGGCGCGCCGTCTGCTAGGCAGCTTCGGCTTGGAGGGCATCGTGCACAAGAACCAAATCGCGACGCTAAGCGGTGGCCAGAAGGCGCGTGTGGCGCTGGCCGCAATCAGCGCCGAATCGCCTCACTTCTTGCTCTTTGACGAGCCAACCAACCACTTGGATGTGGAGTCTATTGAGGCCCTTTGCGCGGCTATCAAGAACTTCAAAGGTGGTGTCTTGGTGGTGACCCACGATGCCCGTCTGATTGAGTCGACAGAGATGCAGATTTGGGTTGCGGGCGACAAGAACGTGGCTCCGTTCAACGGTTCTCTTGAGGATTACAAGAGCATCGTTCGCGCTGAGTTTGAGAAGGAGGAGGCGATACGACTGGAGGACCGCCGGCAGCAGCAAGAGGACAAGGCTGCCGTCCGCCAATTGAAGCAGAGTGGAGTGGCGGACGTCAAGAGTGCGTTGAAGGAGAAGGAAGAAAAGAAGCAGCAACACCATGCCGAGGGCCTGGATGCTTTCCTGGACGCTGTGGGGAAGAAAAAGAAGAAGAAGTCGAAGGAAGACAAGGAATGAAAGCACCCCCTCTTCATCTGGTGTTTTTCTCTCGTCGCGGCTTTGGATGCGTTCTCACGGTCCAGTGTTGTTGATGCTGCTCTTCCAGTGCTTTCTCTTTCGCAGCGCGCGGAGCCACCGGTCACATGGCGCGATCGTCGTTCATAAAGAGATTCTTCTGTTGTTTGGCTGCGAGTCGCGTTTGCGTGTAACATTTCTTTCTCCTTTTCGCATGCGAATAAATGTGTTTGTATATGTGTGTGTGTGTGTAAGTTTCCTTTTCTAACTCCTTTTCTGTAGGACGACGGTAATAGCTAAGTGGAGAAAAGTGTCTCTGAAGCTCAACGAACTCTTAAGGGGATGAAAGCAACGCGTGTGGCTCCGCTATGGCAGGTGGACGGGAAAGGCTGAACGAGAAAAACATTTGCCACTCTGTCTTTTCTCCATCTGCACTGGAAAATGATTCCTTTTTCCCCCTGTCTTTCGAGAGGGTTTCGCCCATTCACCTTGCACTTCACAAAAAAAAAATAGATGTAGCGAACATGGATGTATGCTTTTACTGCCATTCTAAGCTGTTTGCCGTTGTCGTTTTCTCCCACCTCCTTTACCTCTTCTTCTTTGGATTTCACCTCCCACAGTGCGACATTAGGTTGCTCCATTCTTTGCCGTTAGGGTGGCGGCTCTTCTCAAAAATAAATAAAAATGTGTTGAATCCTTCGTTGGCAAAAAACCAGAAAATCATAATCAGCGCATTACAAGCCTTCGGCGTGCGCGGAGCGATGGCGCACTTTCGCTCCTCCAGGTCATCGTGCCGTCGCACATGGCCCAAGAAATCTTCTTTGTGTGGTGTTGCCGTGTTCTTAGTCGTGTGCTTGGTTTTGCTGTTCTACTTGAGCGTCTCCGGGAACGGCTGGAATATGCCGCTTCCGCCCGCCTTTCAGCTAGCTGGACGGGAGGTGTGGTACACGGCGCCGCCCGACCAAGCCGTGTCAGACGCCGCACTTATCCAGTGCACGAAGCGGTGGCTACAGAGCGACGGTGTTCCAGCCAACACCATCATCCCTTTTGTGATTATCCCCCTTACACTCGAGTGGGAGGAATTCCGGCGTTTTATGTGCCGCGTGAACGCTCATGCGCGGTACCTGTACATTGTGCGGAACGGCAACGTCGAAGAGCTGGAGCTGGTGCTGCGCCAACTGCGCGAGGCAGTATCCTCGGAGCGTTTAATCATCTCTCATCGGCCTGATAACATTGGCTACGCGGCTGCTGTGAACGAAGGCTACCGCGTGGCGCTGGCGAAGCCGTACAGCGAGGTGCCCTTCATTGGTGTCTTCAACTGTGATGTATACTTTGAAAAAAGCTTTTTTCGACGGTACGTGCCGGATGTGTACAAGGCCTTAGCCCCCGACGCAGACCGCATTTACGCGTTGGAGGAGGAGGTGCGAAAAGAGGAAAATGCGGCGAGGACCGCTGGCGTCACGACGCTGCGTGCCGCGTCGGCTGACATACCCGGGATTTCTCTCTCCCTCATGCTGCCGGACCGCGTGCGCTACGCGCCTCTTGAGGTGCAGCAGCGCGAGTTTAACCAGCACGTTGGCATGTTCCACTTCCACTACCAATGCATGTGCGCCTTTTTCGTTTCGCGGCTTGCCCTGCTGGCCGGCGGCTTTCTGGACGAGAACTGCTACCCCGCCTACTTTGAAGACTACGACTGGAGGTTTCGCATGACACGCCTGGGCTTTCGCACCTTTATTGGGCCGTCGGAGCGCTACGGCGGCTTCTACCACGGCTTGGGTGGCAACATCCGCGTGATCAGGGAGGGGGCGGAAGGGCGCTCGCTGAGCTACGATGTGGAAGCAATGCGCGTGAGCCGCATGCTGATCGCGAAACCCGGCATTGACTACGGCGAGACGAAATGGGCGTGGCACCGCGAAGCGCTCATCCCCATGAGCCTGAGGTCGTTTCCCACGGTGGGCTTCGCGGTACCCCCTGATGCGTGGGTCATGGATCAGCGGCGTCGCGAGCGAATTGTAGGTATTGGCAGGGGATTATACCCCGCCGTAGAGATGCGGAATGCGTACAACCTTACGCTGCTCGAGGCGTTGAGGCCGTTTGACCGCACTCGTTGACTAGAAAAGAGTTGAGGGTGCGATCATTGCTTTCTTTGTGCTTTTGCATATTTCATTTGTCCTTAAAAAAAAAAATAGACATAATTTCTTCGCTGCACGTTGGTTTTGGTGTGTGTGCTTTCATCGTATGTGTGCGCGTGATTGTGTATCACCTGCTCGTGACTGCACTTCGTATTTCCACAGTCTTCCTGCTAAGATATCAATGAAGGGGGAAAAGGTTTCCTTGTTAAACAGCCACCTCGGTTCGATTCAACCCCTGCCGGCTTTCGTGTTGCCGGCGCGCTTTCACTGCTGCTTTCAACAACAAAAAGGGGTGGCTTATGCAGAACGGAAAAGGGGTCTTTTTTTTTCTGCGGCATTGTCGCCTGCCCTGATGAAGGCGGCCACCGCACCGTGGTGTCGGAATCGAGTACCCACTATGTGGGGGAGCCAAGCGCCTGAAACCTACCAAGTTGGGTTGCGGGCTTATTGGCGCGGCGGACAGTCTCGGGTTGGTCCCAGGCTGGAAGGAGTTGCCGTAACGCGTACGGATGAGCCAACCTGCGAAACGTGTGTCTACGGGTTACTAACCCTTGTGTTTTGTATTATTTTCGGTGTTTCTGTTAGAGAAGACATACAATGATACAAAGACGCACTGCTACTTCAATCTCTTCCTTTCTCTCGATATGATGCTTAACCGTTGTGCATTCGTTTAGCACGCGCATCGTGCGCCATCTTTTTCTGGTTTGTCGTTCTTGGCGTTTTTTCTAGTACACTTCCACGCAATGGAGATCGCTAGCGAAGAAGTGCAATCGAACACTTCTCGGAAACCTCACGCCGAGCAGTGGCGACGACTACTCTTTTCCTGTCTTGCTTTATTTATTCTTGTCATGGTGTACCGTCTCATCGGCGTTGGCGTCGGGGCACCCCCGGATCGACCCACCGTGAAAGCGGCGGGACGGCCGGTGAAGGACGCCTTGAAATACCTGCGCCTTTCGGCCCGCAACGCCTCATTGAACCGCCGTGCACCCAGCAGCCCAACAGCTTTAGAGATGCGCGTTCGCGAAGTTTTGCAGCGCCGCTGGCCACACACGGCCGGTGCTGCAGCCACCACGGCAGCCAATGCGCGTCCTCTGCGCGTTCGCGTGGCAACCGTGGCCAATCGCGTCGACTTCACCGTCTGCGCCGAGCAGGCTTCCGCATTTGCCAGCGGGGTGAAGGTCTCCGTCGTGGGCTTCGGTAGGCCTTACTCGCACGTCACACGCCTGCAGACCTATTTAGAGTTTGCGGAGAAGGAAGGCTTGGCTGATGACGACGTGGTGATGCTGGTGGACAGCGACACATTGTGGACCGGTTTTGGGCTGGAAGACGCGGTCGCGAAGTTCGTGGCCCTCCCGCCGCCCTCGCAGGCGTCCCTGTGGCCGGCCGCGGTGCGTGCGTGGGAGGACTACGGCGAGCACACTGGTGAGCGCTTTCTGCGCGAGCTCGTGCGCAACACCAGCCACGACGTCCCCACGGCGCTTGTGCAGCTCCCGCCGGTTCTCTTCAGCGCGGAGCGCTACTGCAATTGGATGCAAAAGCTGGCGCAAATGCCGATGTGCCCGCTATCGTTTGCGCTCGTGGATTACATCACGGACCTGGCGCGGAACGGCTATAGTGGTGTGACACCCGAGAGGATGACGCGGTACCTGGGCATTCCGCCAGACGACACTCATGATGCGCTGGAAGGTGTACGGCGCTTCCTGGCTTCTCGCGGCACGCGCAAGCGCGGCAAGTCCTCTGCGCACCGAGACAAGGCCGACCCTCACTATTACACGTCGAATGCGCTTTGTGAACACAACGTAGTCCGCTACCTCAACGCAGGTGGGGTGCTGATGCGTGTGTGGGCGTTGCGGTTGTACACGGTGGTGTTCCGTGACTTTCTCCAGACCCAGAATCCATCACCGATGGTGGACAAGAGCAATCGCGGTTGGTACTGCGACCAGTCGGTTCACGGCGCTCTGTACGTGCGGGTCCGCATGTTTGAGGCAGCGCAGGGGCTGCTGGACGCCACCCCGGGAACCGAGATGGCGGACGGCCCCTACAGGCTTCCGCCCCGTATGACGGGGCTGGACCGGCGCAGCGCGTTCTTCCTCACCGCCGCTGGGGTGTTGTGGCGGCGCCACAGGATCTACGTTGGCACCGAGTACCACCAGCGGTATGTAGGCCACTTGGTGTTTCGTCTTCTCTGGTACCTCCGTCGCCTGCGCACGTGGTGGATCCCCGGCAGGAGCGTGAGTGCCATCCGCCGCATCCCCGCCGCGTCTGCGAGTGGTTGTGCGCTGACGCCGCTGCTGCTGAGGCGCCCGCCGTGTCGCGAGGATGTCGTGCGCGGATATCATGCCCTGCGCGACGACGACGCGGATGTCGCCGTGCCGCCGGTGGTGCACATTCCAGGAGATGACAAGGACGAAAAGTACGCAGAGATCCTCCGCTAAATGCCGTGGCGCGTCGCCGCTCAGTGGAGTCGCACGGCGAATGAGACGCTCTTTCGTGTTTTGGAGAGCGCGGAAGTGGAGGTGTGGGGCCCTAGCCACCGCCATTACATCCCCTTTTCCCAAATGTGCCCAAACGTGTCGTACCTCGGCTAGCGTGGTCGGCGTGTGACATCACTTCACCGCTCGCTTCACGACGACGACGACGCCCCGAAACACGTCTTGACTCGATACGCCCTTCACCTCTTCTCTTCCTTTCGCCCTTGACGCCGAAGACAAATGTGGACAACAGAGCAACAAAAGAAAAAGAAAAGCAACATCAATGTGTCGTCGCTCGTCAAAATTGTACATGCATGGTGTGGTGCGCGCGTGAAAACACCGTTCAAAACGCGCCTGCTCCTGCGGCCGGTGCGTGTTGCGCGCGCTCTCTCGTTGTTCCTGATCTCCAGTTTTGCCCCTCCCCCTCTTGCGTTCTGCGTTTCCGGAGCGCGGGAAAAGTTTCCGGTGCCGGGGATCGAACCCGGGTCTAGCGGGTGAGAGCCGCTTGTTCTATCCACTATACCACACCGGAACGTGAACAAAAAGAAACCTAAACGGCGGGTGCGGGCAGGTTGACACCACCTCCGAAAAAATGGACGAGTAGGGGGTTGAACCCTAGGCCTCCTGTATGCAAAACAGGCGCTCTACCACTGAGCTACACGCCCTGTGCACGCCACAAGACAGAATGCATCATCGGGAAATAAAACACGAGGTGACAACGAACAGAAATGCCGCAAAAACAGATCGCTCCAGTGGCCTAATGGATAAGGCTTTGGACTTCTAATCCAAAGATTGCGGGTTCGAGTCCCGCCTGGAGTACTTTTGCTTTCGTACAGCAGAGATCACGGTGTCTGGATTTTAGGAAGTTCATCAGCTGCTCTTGTAGCCTAATGGATATGGCGTTTGCTTCCTAAGCAAAAGGTTGCGGGTTCGAGTCCCGCCAGGAGTACTTTTTTCTTTGAGCGCGCGCGGGGCGGGGGGCCGGCGAACCAGACGCCCCAGGCACAGAAAGGACGCGCCCTGAAGAAGAAGAAACAGCAGAAGCCGAAACAATGTAGTTTTTGGGCGCGAGGAGCTACATCAAAAGCAATGGAGGGGGAAAGAGGCGCCCGTAAAAAGTGTTTTCATCTGTGTGCCGAACTGTCAGGCTTTTTGCTCCACTCGTTCCTTTCGGAGCCGTTGCAGGCGTCAACGTTGCTAAGATACGTATTTTTGTCTTTGGCTTTGCTTTCGAGAACCGTCGTTGCGCTGTTGTAAAACAAGGCAAGATTACAGAGTGAAGGCGCTAACCGCACCGGGGGCATACACTTGTAGGAGTTATCCCCGGTTGCGCGTTGGTTTCCACAGCCTCTCTGGTTCCCATATTGCTTTTTTCGGAAAACAGACCGCAAATGCAACGACGGACTGTTAATTAAACGAGCGATTAAACTGTCATCTTGATATACTACAAAAAATTCTTCCACCTGCACGTTTTGCCGCAACAACAACAGAAAAGAGAAAAGATTTAACACTATTCGTCATCTCGCAGTGTTTTCTGGGTCGTACTGTAAAAAAAATAAAAAGGAAACTTTTCTTTTTTTGCGTGGGCTGCTTTGTTCCAACCCTTGCATTTGTAGCACAGCTGGCTGCCACCAAACTGCCATGTTCTCTCTGTTTTTATTTTTATTTTCTGTAATGTCGTTCAATTTCTTTCTTTTGTTCATTGCAACTTTTATTTTCAACTCTTTTCTACGTTTACTTTTCAAGTTAACATCTCCGCAAGAGTTTACTGGAGCAAAAATTTCATTGATTCAGAAGAAAATTGCTATCATTATTTCTCGGTACAAGACTATCATCCAGCGTTGGACCAACTGTTTATCATGCATCTCCGGCGCTCACTGTACGAGGGCTACAAAACCGCCCACAACAAGCTCTTCAGCGTCAAAAATACAAGCGACTTTCAGGCCACAGGCCGACTCACTCCCAAAGAATTCGTTGAGGCAGGCGACGAGCTTATTCAGAAAAACCCAGTCTGGCAGTGGGTGGGTGGACCCGACCATGTTCAGGACTATCTTCCAGACGACAAAAAGTGTCTCGTGTACCGCGGCGCGCCGTGTGCTGAGCGCGCCCCTGTGGCTCAGACAGATGCTCCTGTCGAGACCGTGGACGAAGACGGTTTTGTCGTTACGGAGGCTCCGAAAGCAGCCCTTCCCACAACAGCAGTGGAGGAAGAAAAGGTGCTGAATTGGGACGACGAGGATTCCGCCTCCGATGATGAAGACGTGGTGACCACCACACCGGACAGCTCCTCTAACTTACGCGTGTATGACGTGTACATCGTATACGACAAATACTACGAAACCCCTCGCATGTATTTGGTTGGATATGCTAGCGACCATGTAACTCCTCTTACAACCGACCAGATGAAACAAGATGTTTACTGCTCAAACTACGGGAAAACCGTCACAATTGATCCACATCCCGTGTTGTCTATACCTTGCATTAGCATCCACCCTTGCCGCCACGCTGAAACGATGTGCAGCCTCATGTGTCGAATGCAACAATACTACGAAAACGAAAAAGGTGAAGAGGCAAGAAGAAATCCTTTTATTTTCCCTGCACATTTGGCATTGCTTCTTTTTCTGAAATTCATTTCCACTGTTTTGCCTACAATTCAATACGATATATCATCCGGTTTTGATTTGATTTAACTTTGCGTATTTAATTGCTTTCTTTTCTATGAAAAGGAAATTACAGCCGATAGTTTTAGGAGTCCCTGCAATCTTTCTCCTCTTTGGGGCAAAGTTGTTTTGAAGCCGCTCTTGAGTTTCTTCTGTCCAAATCGCTTTGATTCAGTGAAACCATTATTCATCGACAACAACAAAAAAGAATCACACGAGGAGCGGTAGATTACCCATTTAGGGCTCAGGAACCACAACTTTTTCGTTTGGGAAAGTATTTGTCTAACAGCTCAAGGAAAAAGTTCACAAAGACATTCGTGGCAAAGCAAGTAATAGCAAACAAAACAAAAGAAACAGGTGGTGATTATGGACACTCGAAGTATTTTCCTAAATTTTCATCGCTTTCTCTCTCTCTCTCTCTTCTTTTTTTTTTCAAGTTGTGAATGTGGGGACTAGTCACATGTGTACAGTGTGCGTATAACAATTCCTTTTTTTTTGATAGTTTACGAAAAGAATGGAATGATGAAAAGAGTAAGAATGATACGAGGAGGATGAGGAGCAACGGCTAGGACGTTTGCTGATGACATGATTTCTACCTCTACTACTCTCCCTCGCTCTTCTTCTTCTCCTTATCTTTCGGACTTGCAGAATCAAAGTTCTCACACAACTTTTGAGTTTTTTCTTTTCCACCCACCCACCCCCGTGGTTGCCCACCACGACAGGGATCCTTGGGTTTAACCAATTCAACTACCCTTGTTTGCCACTTCGTTAGTAGTGCTACCTATTAGAAAAAATGGAAAGAGAGGAAATCGCCAAGTCCAGTGCACCATCGTCCCCTGACGTTGTAGGGAGTAAGTTTGGCAGCGGGACGCTGCGCGGGGTGAATAGATAAGATGTTGGAAGCCCACCGCGAGTATGGAGGGTGGAATCATGTCTCAGCTAATGCATCTCTCTCGGACTCTTTGCACCTCTCGATTCTTCTCTTCTTCTGTACTTTACAAAATCTTCGTCGACCGACAGAAGATAAAAACCTGTGGCCGCGACCCTTCAAGAAATCAATTCACGGAGCGAAGAAAGAGTTCTGCTATGTGGGGTGTGTGCTCCCATTTGCCTTCATAGCACCATGACCTCTTTTCAATTGTAAATGAGGGCAATGTGACGAATTATGCATTATTTAAAACGGACAGGTGGAATATATTCCGATTTTTATTATTACCAGCAATAATATGTAACACGTTTGTTCTTTTCATGCTGCACAATCGCCGCATTCATTCTTAGGTGCAAACGAAACTATTTTGGAGAGGAAAGATTTTCACGAAAATCATGAGTGCACTACGGACGTGGAGTTTTACCTCTACAGAAAATCGGTTTGTTAAAAGCGGTGTTCGTGAAACTCTGCGTCAGCAGGGAAAACGTACAGTATAGGATAATGTACTTTATGTCTTTCGAACTCTTTTTTTTTTGAATCCGAATGGCCACTTTAAAACCAGTAGCCAATTTGGTCCTTTACTGCTATTAGCGAGCGGCAATAGGGCATGCAAAGTTCTTTAGAGTACTGTAACCACCGTTAGAAAAGAATTAAGCGAACGTCACGTTAACTTTATCAACCCCATTAATCGTCGTCGTTTTTCGTTGAGCTGTTTCGAAAACAAACAAAACCTATTTTTGTACCAGTCGGGAGACTGCTTTTTCAAAGTGTTTCTATTGAATGCATAAACAGAGAGTTCCCGGCCTGCAAGTCCTGTGGAAAAAAGGATAAACTATAGAATCGTTGCAGACGACTTGTTTTTTTTTCTGGTAGCACATTGTTTCATTCATGAAATTCTCTTAACAAATAGACCTAGGGGAACTAAACAACGCTTTGCCAATGCGAACGACAAATAAACGGCTCTCGCAAAATGCACCGGTTCACACCAGAGTAAGAAACTAATTCATGTGGTGGCAACTTTTCGTCAATACTACTATAAGCGCACCTTCCGGGCAGGATGACGCCGTGACTGCGGTGGCGCTGTGTCCAATCGGTGGTGCGAGACGCCGTGGCGAGCTGCCTGTGTGTGTTGTGTTCTGTGTGCTGTGTGCGGAGTGCGTGTGTGATGATGTACAGAGTCTGCGAAACACGCAGGTCGCGGAGCCCCGGCTGTGCGCGCCAATTGAACTGCTGTATTTCTTGGGTGAACAATCTCTGATGTGCCTCCTGCGTGGCTGCTGCCGTTGCTCGTTGGACCTGTGGTATGCGCTGTGCGGGGACGCTGATGCAGACAAATCAATACTCACTCCTATGCGGAGCTGCACTGCGCTGCTGCCCGCTGTGCGGACGCGAAGATAACATGCACTACCAGCTGATGGCTCCGGTGACTGTGGATGTGTGCGGTGCGCTGTGGCGCTGCGCCTGCGCGTGGCTGTCACGTGCCGGATGCGTGGCGCTGTCGCTGCCTCCGCGCTGCTGAACGCTGCTGAGCAGAGGCGTGGTGAACAATGTGCAAAGGTGATAGTTGTATTCGTGTGTGTGCTGCAGTTGCCGCGGCGCTGTTGTGCTGCTCGCCGTTGCGGTGCCCTCGAGTCCTCACACTGCCGAGTGCGGTGCGACTGCGCGCCACTCCACCGTTTCCCGGCATGGGGAATTGGTGTGCACCGCTTTTGGGAGCTAGCGAAAGGAAGGACTGAATGCGATTATGTTTTGAATGGAACTCGTGTGAATATCAACCTCAGAGATTTGTTTGTACTTCGTTCTCCCTTTTCACGGACAGTCTTCAACTTCCGCCTTGTTCTCTTTTCTGTTCGTTTCCCGCCCACCCAGGCCCACGCCGATCCGCTTTGAGGGCGGACTGAGGTTGCAGAAGTCCGCCACCGCGTTCGTCTTTGCTCCCGTTCCACGTGAAAACGTTTCTCAGAGATAAATTGATCTGATGTCTTGCCTTCCTGAGAAAGTTGAATGCTATATAAATGCCCTCGAGTGGTCGTGAGGGTCGTGGTTTATCCCTGTACCGGATTGGGAAGTTAATGGAGGGGTGAAGCAAAACACCCTTCCTCTGTTTCGTTTATTTCTACTAACCTTTACCTTTCCCCCTTCTCCGTCTCAACCTACAAACACTGACAATTATTCCTGTGATGTTTGTGTCCTATTCGTTTTGCCCCTCTTTGCTCTGCTCTTCGCACAGTAACTCCCTTTCTGCCCTTTCTCTTACTGCTCACACTCTAAATCACCTCAACACCTACCCCCATACTGATTCATCGCAAGGATGAGCAGGGAATCGATGAGCGGCGATGTTGCGTTGGAAGCCAAGCAGGTGCCGGCCGGAGAGCCGTTCATAGCGTTTCCTGCTGGTGAGATGGGTCCGATCGATGAGATTGGCGACAGCGCGAATGTAACGGAGACCGCGAAGGAGCCAACGAGTTTTTTCTGCTGGCAGAATTTCCTTGTTGTGCTTCCGAGTCTTCTGACTGCAACGCTGTTCGGATACAACATCGGGTACGTCGGACCGTACACGAGGATATATTCCTACGCGACGAACTGCCAGCTGTACGGCGCGCAGACCTCGTGCGAGACGCTGTCCGGTGCGAAGTGCAAGTGGATGGACGCCACGACGGTGAACGCGACGTCGACGCTGGGGATGGTGTGCGGGTGGGAGGCGCCGCGCACGACGTGCTTCCTGAGCTACGATGACGAGGGCAGCTGCGGTGCGGACCACGACTGCGTGTGGAGCTACTCCGCGAGCACGTGCGGGAACAAGGTGGGCTACACATCGATCCAGAGCGGCCTATTTGCGGGTTCGCTGATCATGGGAACGGCTGTCGGGTCCTTGCTCGGCGGGTACCTGACGAAATGGCTGGACTACCGCAAGAGCTTCCTGCTGATCGGTGTCATGGCTTCTATCGGCACTATCCTGGCGCACGTGGCGACCGGCATCTTCCAGTACTGGCTGCTGTTTGTTTCCCGCATCATTTTTGGATTCCCGATGGGGTGGATGTCTGTGACGGCGCCGCATTATACCGACAAGTTCGCTCCGCGTCGCTATCAGAAGCCGCTGGGCACCCTCTTCCAGGTGTTTACTGCGTTCGGTGAGTTTGTCACAGCTTTCTTCGCCATCTGTCTTGGCAACACGATCGCGTACGACGCGGAGCGTGACGCGAAGGTGATGGGCCGCTTGCAGGGACTCACGGCGCCTTCTACGTTGATGTGCATCCTGACGCTGTTGGTACCGCTGGTGACGAAGGACGGGTACTCGGTGTCGAATGCGAAGAGCACCGCCCCGGAAGATGATGCGACCGCTGCTAAACCGGCGGCGAAGAAGTACCCCATTTCGAAGATGGTGGGTCCGCTGCTGATTGGCGTGGCGATGGGATGTACGCTTCAGCTGACCGGCATCAACGCGAACATGAACTTTGCACCAACGATCATGTCGAACCTTGGCCTGGACGCGCTCGTGGGCAACATCATCGTGATGGCGTGGAATTCTGTAACTGCCTTTGTTGCGATCCCACTGTCGAAGAAGTTCACGATGCGGACGCTGTTCCTGTTCTTCACACTGCTGGGCTCGCTGTGCTGCCTGTTCCTGAGCGGCATCCCTGTGTACCCCGGCGTGACGAAGGTGAAGCTTGCGAAGGAGGTGATTGGGATCATCGGCATTGCGCTCTTCATCGCGTCGTATGAGTTTGGCATCGGTCCGTGCTTCTTCGTGCTGTCAGTGGACGTGTTCCCAGAGTCGTTCCGCCCGATCGGTTCGTCGTTCACGGTGTGCGTTATGTTCATCTTCAATCTTGTGATCAACATCTGCTACCCGATCGCGACGGAGGGCATCTCCGGCGGCCCGTCTGGCAACCAGGACAAGGGCCAGGCTGTGGCGTTCATGTTCTTCGGCTGCATCGGCATTGTGACGGTGGTGATCGAGTACTTCTTTCTGCACCCGTGGGAGGAGCAGGACGCCGATGATCTCAACGAGCCGGGAACTTGTTAGAGGCAGTGACGCGGTTGTGCGAAAGACCGCGGCGGTGAGCGTGCACGCGCGATGTGTGGTGTTTTTTGCACGTGCCTGAGCGTTGCTTTGCGGAACTGCCTCTGCGCTTTGCGCCTCTGCAGTGATCAACACAAAGCAATGCAAATGTGAAGTGAAGTGCTCATTGCGTGAGTCGCGAGCCCACCGAACATATCGCTCGGTACCCACAGGAGATGATGCCACCATGCTTTTATGTTCGTATTAATTACCTTCCATCTGTTAAACCGTAGAGTGCTGTTTTTGTTTCCAAAACTGTAAAGGTGCATTTTGCTTAATGGTAGTGCTTTAACTTCTCTCTTGTTTTCTTCTTTTCCTTTTTTTTTCATTGTTTTGGGATTGGGGTTGTCGTGGGCGTGATCGCGCGTGCAACTGTGCGACGACTACGGCTTCTGCGATGCTGTCTTGCAACTTCTCCTTTCCGTTTGCCACTGCGCTGAACCCTGACAGTCTCGATGGAGTCTTGGCTGTTGAGCGCACTTGACGAGAGAGGCGCATGTGTTTCGTCGGCGCTGCACTGATTTCTGTTTTGCCGGCGCAAGCACGATCGGTGGCACGATGAGGAGAGTTGTGCTCTCCGCACCTCTGTGCGGTGGAAGTGCGCAGTGAGGCGAGACTTCTCGAGGACGCAGCCATGACCTCCCCGACGCCAGCACTTCGTACTGCTCGCACTCTTCACATGATGTTGCCAGTGTTCATTGCGGCGAATATTGAAACGTTTTTATCTGCTCGCAGGTGGAAGTGTCGCAGCGCACTGCAACAGCATTGAGTGACGGCGTACGTTGTTCAAAAGATATGCACCTGTTTCTTGGTTTTTGTTTTCCGCTTTGTTTCACTTCCTCCCCAAAACGGTATTTTCCTCTCTTCTCTTCGGCCAGAAACTCATTTGATTTTCTCGTACATCTTTTTCCCCCTCTTTTCCCATTTTCACGTGCTCGCGCCACAGCCGGTGCCGGGAATGGTGCAGAGCGAGAGCATGCGAAGTACAACCGGCGGAGTTACAGGTTTATTGAATGCTGCTTCTCTCACTGCCCCTTCGCCCAGCTTTTCTCGGTCACGGCGATACGGCTCTGGCCTCCTCCCCCTCTCTTTCATTTCCCCCCGGCAGAGTGTTTCCTTTTGGTGCAAATCGTCCCGTTTATCTGTTGTGCAGGGCACCGCCTGGGACGAGGAGTTGCACGGGGGACGCTGCCGTGCTCTTAGCAGCTGCTCATGCGGCCCGCGGTAGGTGTGTGTGGTCCGCCGAAGGCTGTGGTCGTGGGTACGCATGAGCGAGGGAGTGGAGGTGAAGCCGAGTACGCGGAGCTGGAGAAGGAACTGATTTGAACTACAGTGTCTCCTTTATATATATATATCTCCTCTGACTGCTATTGCATTGAAATTGTAGAGCAATTTTCTCTTTTCATTCCGTCACTGGATCGGTTGGAGTGCACCCCTCATCCATGACACCCCAGAGCTGAGGCTTTCTGGCCGTGACGCTCCCCCTGCGGCCTGTGTGGATTGCCACGAGTAGCGCTCTTGCGACTCGGTTGAAGTGGCCTATGGAATAGGTGATGAGGAGGGAGAGCAGCCGATGCGTGTGCAGTGACGTGGTAGAAGTCAATTGTTTTACTTGCCCCTGCGTGTGCTGCGAGTGTACCCCTCTGTATCTCTCCCCACGCCAATATCGATATATATATATATATGCGTCGTTGGGCGGGCTGCGACGACATTGTTTTGTTTCGATTTATCTTTCTCGTTCTATCTTGCTTTTTCTCTTTTTAAATTTCCCGACTATTTCCAGCGGAAAAGAAGTAGTCAAACTCGGGGAGGTTCGCGAGGCGAGAGAGCTCTCACGGATGCATGCGTGGGAAGCGGTGACAGATGGCGAGTGCTTCAGCACTCTCGTACGTGCCCGCTTGTTTGGTGGTGCGTGCGCATCTCCGTGTTGGCACTCCACGCTTCGAGTTGTTGGTAACAGCCGAGCTCTCAAAAGCTTATCTTAATACCTAACTATATCTAAACAACGCTGTACCCTTTTTCAGCTTCGTTTCTATTCATTTATTATTACTATCTTCATGGTTTTGTGTGTGAATGTCCTTTTCTGGTACTAAGGCGTCATTGTGTTGTAAAAGCACGCTGGACATCGTGGCCCTCTAACAATTCGAATCGTAAATGAGCAGAGGAACATTCGGATGCAGGATCATCCATATGCGTTGCGCGGTACGTCGCACCGCTCTTGACGTCCGAGGGCTGTGTGGAACGGTTCTCATCGAGGTGGGGACGTTACGTGGACTGCTGTGCAACAGGTGCGATGCTCCGTGCGGCGCTTTCCACCTTGAATACATCTTTTCCAGCCACTGCTGCATATGTGTTCGCTGACGAGGCGGCGCTTCTCGTTTACCAACCGCCGCCCCACATTTCCTAACTACTCACCTCTCACTGCTGATTTTATTTTTTCCCACTGACCCTTTTTCACTGTTCGTCTCCGTCGCTATGAGTCGCCAATTTGAGCGTGGCGCTTTCAGGCGATCAGTTGTAAGCACAACGTAACTTGCGCACCACGCAGCTCAACTTATTCGACCACGTAGAACGCGAGCGTGTTCTCAAATGACCGGCACGTTCGCTGCGGTTGGTAGCGACGCTGGTTTCATGAATTGTTCAGCTATTTGCTGCCCTGAGATTCTGTTCACGCATTAGACCGACTTGTTGTACCGCTGGCCGTTGGACATGCGGTGTGCGCTGTGCGGGGACGCTGATGCAGACAAATCAATACTCACTCCTATGCGGAGCTGCACTGCGCTGCTGCCCGCTGTGCGGACGCGAAGATAACATGCACTACCAGCTGATGGCTCCGGTGACTGTGGATGTGTGCGGTGCGCTGTGGCGCTGCGCCTGCGCGTGGCTGTCACGTGCCGGATGCGTGGCGCTGTCGCTGCCTCCGCGCTGCTGAACGCTGCTGAGCAGAGGCGTGGTGAACAATGTGCAAAGGTGATAGTTGTATTCGTGTGTGTGCTGCAGTTGCCGCGGCGCTGTTGTGCTGCTCGCCGTTGCGGTGCCCTCGAGTCCTCACAATGTTGAGTGCGGTGCGACTACGCGCCACTCCACCGTTTCCCGGCATGGGCGAATGCGCGCGTCGCTTTCTGGTGTTTTTGTGTCCTATTTGTTTGGCCTCCTTCTCTATCCCTCTCTCTGTCTTCGTCGCTCTCTGTTCCTCCTCGCACGCCCGTGTGCTGCGCGTGCGGCCACGTGAAGTAATCGCATTAAGCGGGAAAACGGTGTGTCTTCTGCAACACGCTGCACTAATACGGAGGTGTACGTAATCCAAACAACTCTCAGTTTCGAATCACACGGAGCAGATGGCGCTGAACACGAACGGTGCCGCCCCAGAGAAACTCGAGGTGGAGAGTGGCACGTCGCACGGAGAGCCCAATGAGGTATACGTGTCGAAGGAGGCTCCTCTTGAGGTAAGGTTAACGGCTGACACCCATGAAGAACCTGTCGACGGCGCACGCCTTTTCAGCCTCTCCACTCTGAAGATTGCACTACCAAACATTCTCATTCCTGCTCTCTACGGATACCACATCGGGTACGTCGGACCGTACGCGACGATGTATTCCTACGCGACGAACTGCCAGCTGTACGGCGCGCAGACCTCGTGCGAGACGCTGTCCGGTGCGAAGTGCAAGTGGATGGACGCCACGACGGTGAACGCGACGTCGACGCTGGGGATGGTGTGCGGGTGGGAGGCGCCGCGCACGACGTGCTTCCTGAGCTACGATGACGAGGGCAGCTGCGGTGCGGACCACGACTGCGTGTGGAGCTACTCCGCGAGCACGTGCGGGAACAAGGTGGGCTACACGTCGATCCAGAGCGGCCTATTTGCGAGTTCGCTCATCATTGGCGGCCTCTTCGGATCCTTGCTCGGCGGGTACCTGACGAAATGGCTGGACTACCGCAAGAGCTTCCTGCTGATCGGTGTCATCGCTGTGGTCGGCTCTATCCTGGCGCACGTGGCGACCGGCATCTTCCAGTTCTGGCTGCTGTTTGTTTCCCGCATCATTGTCGGCTTTTCGATAGGGTGGCAGTCCATCACTGCGCCGCATTACGTTAACAGGTTTTCGCCGATATCGCTCCGGAAGACGCTGGGCACACTGTTTCAAGTGTCGGGTGCGTTTGGTACGTTTATTGGCGCCATCCTCGGTATCTGCCTTGGCAACACGATCGCGTACGACGCGGAGCGTGACGCGAAGGTGATGGGCCGCTTGCAGGGCTTCGTTGCCTTTCCAACTCTGCTGTCGGTTCTTGTGATGTTTCTCCCCTTGCTGACGAAGGACGGCTACTCTCTGGTGCCGGAGGACAAATACGAGGACGCTGCGGAGGGTGCATCGTCTGGCGCAAGGATGAATACGAAGAAGTATCCGTTCTCGATGATGGTCAAGCCAGTAGTGGTGGGCATGGTGATGGGATGCACGATGCAGCTGACCGGCATCACCGCGAACATGAACTTTGCACCAACGATCATGTCGAACCTTGGCCTGGACGCGCTCGTGGGCAACATCATCGTGATGGCGTGGAACTGTGTAACTGCCTTCGGCGTGATCCCGCTGTCGAAGAAGTTCTCGATGCGGACATTGTTCCTGTTCTTTGCGGCGTTGGGTTCACTGTGCTGCCTGTTCCTGAGCGGCATCCCTGTGTACCCCGGCGTGACGAAGGTGAAGCTTGCGAAGGAGGTGCTTGCGATCATCGGCATTGCGCTCTTCATCGCGTCGTACGAGATGGGCATCGGTCCGTGCTTCTATGTGCTTGCCCTGGACGTGTTCCCAGAGTCGTTCCGCCCGATCGGCTCGTCTATCACAACGGGTGTCATGTTCGCTGTGACCGTTGTGCTGAACATCTGCTATCCGATCGCGACGGAGGGCATCTCCGGCGGCCCGTCTGGCAACCAGGACAAGGGCCAGGCTGTGGCGTTCATGTTCTTTGGCTGCATCGGCATTGTGACGGTGGTGTTCGAGTACTTCTTTCTGCACCCGTGGGAGGATCCGGTTGATTCCGTTCCCTCCGAGGAGTAAGGATTGTTAAAACTGGAGCACGGATGCTGCTCTAATAGTATATCTTTTCTTTTCTTCTAAGCCGCCTCAGGTGTGCTCTATGAATCGCACGTGTGGTTCTTCTGCGCGTCGCATGGGCGAGTAGCGGGGCAGCAGACGCGCCAGAGACGAGGTTGTTGCAACGCGGCATTGCGCATGTTGCACAGCACAGTAACTCCATCATATTTTCTTCTCTTTCTCGGTCAACGAAGCGCGTACTTCTCGCACGTTTGTTTTCGTTGCAAACGTACAGGAGCCGAAATATGTCTCCATTCAAAACGTTTTTAATTGTTTTGTTTCTTGTTGTCTTTCTTCTTCTGTGTTTGGGTTATTTCTCTGTTCACTTCGACGCAGACATCGACGCCCTTGATGTGTTGCCTGGGCGAGTAGACGTGTCTGCGCGTAGTGTGTGAAGGAGAGCGCTATAAAGTGACTCCCATCGTTATTTTTATGAGTGGTCGTTTTCCTTTTACTATTGACAGATATTAAGGTTTCTCTCTCGCAAGAGCCCGACTCATTCAACGCCTGCGTTGCACGGAGCTGCAGCGAAGATCTCGATGATTTCCCTACGTGAGTCGCCATTGTTTCGTCAAAAATGTGTTATTTATTGTCGCGGCCTCAACCCGCCTTCCCTGACAAATGCGCCATGGACCCGCCTGTCGAAGCAAACCCTGAAAAGTCGTAGTGCAGCGCTAGTCCGGTGCTGCGGACCCGCTGTGGCTGCGCCAGCGCCGGAGCACGCGCCACGCCTGACTGGGGCACGTTGTGCTCGGCGTTTTCTTCCCCTCCCGGGACACTCGCGCTGAGACGCGGAGCCCTGTGTGCTTTATGGCTGGCTGTATGTGCCTCAGCTGCGCTGCTGCGGCGTGCACGACGCTGGTGTGCACTCACTCGAGGCGCGATACTCTCTTCTTTCTGCCACCCCTCTTCCTTCTCTCCCTTTCTCTGCTGCAGTGCCCGCACCCCGCTGGTGCGGTGTGTGAGTGTGAGTGTGTGTGCGATTGTGCGGTGGCCGCGCTGATGACCGAAGCAGTTATTTGTTTGCACATTTCCTGAGGAGACCCCTCCGGTGAACGACCCGACAACTTCTAAGAACACCAGCTGACATGCGTGCCGCGTGGCGTTGTGCGTGCCGTGGAACTGAATGATTACGTTGCGTCTACCACCTAACGACCGTTGATGATTATACGTGATGCAATCAATACTACACTACACCGAATACCTTGGATGACGTTCTGCGCGTGGCGCTTGCCGGTTGCTGGTTGCTGGTTGCTGGTTGCTGGTTGCGCGCGTGGTGTGTGCGCTGCACCTTCCGGGCAGGATGACGCCGTGACTGCGGTGGCGCTGTGTCCAATCGGTGGTGCGAGACGCCGTGGCGAGCTGCCTGTGTGTGTTGTGTTCTGTGTGCTGTGTGCGGAGTGCGTGTGTGATGATGTACAGAGTCTGCGAAACACGCAGGTCGCGGAGCCCCGGCTGTGCGCGCCAATTGAACTGCTGTATTTCTTGGGTGAACAATCTCTGATGTGCCTCCTGCGTGGCTGCTGCCGTTGCTCGTTGGACCTGTGGTATGCGCTGTGCGGGGACGCTGATGCAGACAAATCAATACTCACTCCTATGCGGAGCTGCACTGCGCTGCTGCCCGCTGTGCGGACGCGAAGATAACATGCACTACCAGCTGATGGCTCCGGTGACTGTGGATGTGTGCGGTGCGCTGTGGCGCTGCGCCTGCGCGTGGCTGTCACGTGCCGGATGCGTGGCGCTGTCGCTGCCTCCGCGCTGCTGAACGCTGCTGAGCAGAGGCGTGGTGAACAATGTGCAAAGGTGATAGTTGTATTCGTGTGTGTGCTGCAGTTGCCGCGGCGCTGTTGTGCTGCTCGCCGTTGCGGTGCCCTCGAGTCCTCACACTGCCGAGTGCGGTGCGACTGCGCGCCACTCCACCGTTTCCCGGCATGGGGAATTGGTGTGCACCGCTTTTGGGAGCTAGCGAAAGGAAGGACTGAATGCGATTATGTTTTGAATGGAACTCGTGTGAATATCAACCTCAGAGATTTGTTTGTACTTCGTTCTCCCTTTTCACGGACAGTCTTCAACTTCCGCCTTGTTCTCTTTTCTGTTCGTTTCCCGCCCACCCAGGCCCACGCCGATCCGCTTTGAGGGCGGACTGAGGTTGCAGAAGTCCGCCACCGCGTTCGTCTTTGCTCCCGTTCCACGTGAAAACGTTTCTCAGAGATAAATTGATCTGATGTCTTGCCTTCCTGAGAAAGTTGAATGCTATATAAATGCCCTCGAGTGGTCGTGAGGGTCGTGGTTTATCCCTGTACCGGATTGGGAAGTTAATGGAGGGGTGAAGCAAAACACCCTTCCTCTGTTTCGTTTATTTCTACTAACCTTTACCTTTCCCCCTTCTCCGTCTCAACCTACAAACACTGACAATTATTCCTGTGATGTTTGTGTCCTATTCGTTTTGCCCCTCTTTGCTCTGCTCTTCGCACAGTAACTCCCTTTCTGCCCTTTCTCTTACTGCTCACACTCTAAATCACCTCAACACCTACCCCCATACTGATTCATCGCAAGGATGAGCAGGGAATCGATGAGCGGCGATGTTGCGTTGGAAGCCAAGCAGGTGCCGGCCGGAGAGCCGTTCATAGCGTTTCCTGCTGGTGAGATGGGTCCGATCGATGAGATTGGCGACAGCGCGAATGTAACGGAGACCGCGAAGGAGCCAACGAGTTTTTTCTGCTGGCAGAATTTCCTTGTTGTGCTTCCGAGTCTTCTGACTGCAACGCTGTTCGGATACAACATCGGGTACGTCGGACCGTACACGAGGATATATTCCTACGCGACGAACTGCCAGCTGTACGGCGCGCAGACCTCGTGCGAGACGCTGTCCGGTGCGAAGTGCAAGTGGATGGACGCCACGACGGTGAACGCGACGTCGACGCTGGGGATGGTGTGCGGGTGGGAGGCGCCGCGCACGACGTGCTTCCTGAGCTACGATGACGAGGGCAGCTGCGGTGCGGACCACGACTGCGTGTGGAGCTACTCCGCGAGCACGTGCGGGAACAAGGTGGGCTACACGTCGATCCAGAGCGGCCTATTTGCGGGTTCTATGATGATGGGTGGTATTTGTGGAGCACTGCTCGGAGGGTACCTGACGAAATGGCTGGACTACCGCAAGAGCTTCCTGCTGATCGGTGTCATCGCTTCGGTCGGCTCTATCCTGACGCACGTGGCGACCGGCATCTCTCAATACTGGCTGATGTTTGTTTCCCGCATCATTTTTGGATTCCCGATGGGATGGACCACTGTCACGGGGCCGCATTATACCGACAAGTTCGCTGTGCGCCGCTATCAGAAGACGCTGGGCACCCTCTTCCAGGTGTCTACTACGGTCGGTTCGTTGATTGCTGCTGTCCTTGGCATCTGTCTTGGCAACACGATCGCGTACGACGCGGAGCGTGACGCGAAGGTGATGGGCCGCTTGCAGGGACTCACGGCGCTTTCTACGTTGATGTGCATCCTGACGCTGTTCATGCCGCTGGTGACGAAGGACGGGTACTCGGTGTCGAATGCGAAGTACACCGCCCCGGAAGATGATGCGACCGCTGCTAAACCGGCGGCGAAGAAGTACCCCATTTCGAAGATGGTGGGTCCGCTGCTGATTGGCGTGGCGATGGGATGTACGCTTCATCTGACCGGCATCGGAGCGAACATGAACTTTGCACCAATGATCATGTCGAACCTTGGCCTGGATCCTCTCGTGGGCAACATCATCGTGATGGTGTGGAACTGCGTGACTGCTTTCGGCGCGATCCCGCTGTCGAAGAAGTTCACGATGCGGACGCTGTTCCTGTCCTGTGCAGCTATGGGCTCGCTGTGCTGCCTGTTCCTGAGCGGCATCCCTGTGTACCCCGGCGTGACGAAGTCGACGCTTGCGAAGGAGGTGATTGGGATCATCGGCATTGCGCTCTTTATCCTTGCGTACGATTGTGGCATTGCTCCGTGCTTCTTCGTGCTGACAGTGGACGTGTTCCCAGAGTCGTTCCGCCCGATCGGTTCGTCGTTCACGATGGGCGTAATGTTCAGTTTGAATCTTGTGATCAACATCTGCTACCCGATCGCGACGGAGGGCATCTCCGGCGGCCCGTCTGGCAACCAGGACAAGGGCCAGGCTGTGGCGTTCATATTCTTCGGCTGCATCGGCATTGTGACGGTGGTGATCGAGTACTTCTTTCTGCACCCGTGGGAGGATCCGGTTGATTCCGTTCCCTCCGAGGAGTAAGGATTGTTAAAACTGGAGCACCGATGCTGCTCTTATAGTATATCTTTTCTTTTCTTCTAAGCCGCCTCAGGTGTGCTCTGTGAATCGCACGTGTGGTTCTTCTGCGCGTCGCATGGGCGAGTAGCGGGGCAGCAGACGCGCCAGAGACGAGGTTGTTGCAACGCGGCATTGCGCATGTTGCACAGCACAGTAACTCCATCATATTTTCTTCTCTTTCTCGGTCAACGAAGCGCGTACTTCTCGCACGTTTGTTTTCGTTGCAAACGTACAGGAGCCGAAATATGTCTCCATTCAAAACGTTTTTTAATTGTTTTGTTTCTTGTTGTCTTTCTTCTTCTGTGTTTGGGTTATTTCTCTGTTCACTTCGACGCAGACATCGACGCCCTTGATGTGTTGCCTGGGCGAGTAGACGTGTCTGCGCGTAGTGTGTGAAGGAGAGCGCTATAAAGTGACTCCCATCGTTATTTTTATGAGTGGTCGTTTTCCTTTTACTATTGACAGATATTAAGGTTTCTCTCTCGCAAGAGCCCGACTCATTCAACGCCTGCGTTGCACGGAGCTGCAGCGAAGATCTCGATGATTTCCCTACGTGAGTCGCCATTGTTTCGTCAAAAATGTGTTATTTATTGTCGCGGCCTCAACCCGCCTTCCCTGACAAATGCGCCATGGACCCGCCTGTCGAAGCAAACCCTGAAAAGTCGTAGTGCAGCGCTAGTCCGGTGCTGCGGACCCGCTGTGGCTGCGCCAGCGCCGGAGCACGCGCCACGCCTGACTGGGGCACGTTGTGCTCGGCGTTTTCTTCCCCTCCCGGGACACTCGCGCTGAGACGCGGAGCCCTGTGTGCTTTATGGCTGGCTGTATGTGCCTCAGCTGCGCTGCTGCGGCGTGCACGACGCTGGTGTGCACTCACTCGAGGCGCGATACTCTCTTCTTTCTGCCACCCCTCTTCCTTCTCTCCCTTTCTCTGCTGCAGTGCCCGCACCCCGCTGGTGCGGTGTGTGAGTGTGAGTGTGTGTGCGATTGTGCGGTGGCCGCGCTGATGACCGAAGCAGTTATTTGTTTGCACATTTCCTGAGGAGACCCCTCCGGTGAACGACCCGACAACTTCTAAGAACACCAGCTGACATGCGTGCCGCGTGGCGTTGTGCGTGCCGTGGAACTGAATGATTACGTTGCGTCTACCACCTAACGACCGTTGATGATTATACGTGATGCAATCAATACTACACTACACCGAATACCTTGGATGACGTTCTGCGCGTGGCGCTTGCCGGTTGCTGGTTGCTGGTTGCTGGTTGCTGGTTGCGCGCGTGGTGTGTGCGCTGCACCTTCCGGGCAGGATGACGCCGTGACTGCGGTGGCGCTGTGTCCAATCGGTGGTGCGAGACGCCGTGGCGAGCTGCCTGTGTGTGTTGTGTTCTGTGTGCTGTGTGCGGAGTGCGTGTGTGATGATGTACAGAGTCTGCGAAACACGCAGGTCGCGGAGCCCCGGCTGTGCGCGCCAATTGAACTGCTGTATTTCTTGGGTGAACAATCTCTGATGTGCCTCCTGCGTGGCTGCTGCCGTTGCTCGTTGGACCTGTGGTATGCGCTGTGCGGGGACGCTGATGCAGACAAATCAATACTCACTCCTATGCGGAGCTGCACTGCGCTGCTGCCCGCTGTGCGGACGCGAAGATAACATGCACTACCAGCTGATGGCTCCGGTGACTGTGGATGTGTGCGGTGCGCTGTGGCGCTGCGCCTGCGCGTGGCTGTCACGTGCCGGATGCGTGGCGCTGTCGCTGCCTCCGCGCTGCTGAACGCTGCTGAGCAGAGGCGTGGTGAACAATGTGCAAAGGTGATAGTTGTATTCGTGTGTGTGCTGCAGTTGCCGCGGCGCTGTTGTGCTGCTCGCCGTTGCGGTGCCCTCGAGTCCTCACACTGCCGAGTGCGGTGCGACTGCGCGCCACTCCACCGTTTCCCGGCATGGGGAATTGGTGTGCACCGCTTTTGGGAGCTAGCGAAAGGAAGGACTGAATGCGATTATGTTTTGAATGGAACTCGTGTGAATATCAACCTCAGAGATTTGTTTGTACTTCGTTCTCCCTTTTCACGGACAGTCTTCAACTTCCGCCTTGTTCTCTTTTCTGTTCGTTTCCCGCCCACCCAGGCCCACGCCGATCCGCTTTGAGGGCGGACTGAGGTTGCAGAAGTCCGCCACCGCGTTCGTCTTTGCTCCCGTTCCACGTGAAAACGTTTCTCAGAGATAAATTGATCTGATGTCTTGCCTTCCTGAGAAAGTTGAATGCTATATAAATGCCCTCGAGTGGTCGTGAGGGTCGTGGTTTATCCCTGTACCGGATTGGGAAGTTAATGGAGGGGTGAAGCAAAACACCCTTCCTCTGTTTCGTTTATTTCTACTAACCTTTACCTTTCCCCCTTCTCCGTCTCAACCTACAAACACTGACAATTATTCCTGTGATGTTTGTGTCCTATTCGTTTTGCCCCTCTTTGCTCTGCTCTTCGCACAGTAACTCCCTTTCTGCCCTTTCTCTTACTGCTCACACTCTAAATCACCTCAACACCTACCCCCATACTGATTCATCGCAAGGATGAGCAGGGAATCGATGAGCGGCGATGTTGCGTTGGAAGCCAAGCAGGTGCCGGCCGGAGAGCCGTTCATAGCGTTTCCTGCTGGTGAGATGGGTCCGATCGATGAGATTGGCGACAGCGCGAATGTAACGGAGACCGCGAAGGAGCCAACGAGTTTTTTCTGCTGGCAGAATTTCCTTGTTGTGCTTCCGAGTCTTCTGACTGCAACGCTGTTCGGATACAACATCGGGTACGTCGGACCGTACACGAGGATATATTCCTACGCGACGAACTGCCAGCTGTACGGCGCGCAGACCTCGTGCGAGACGCTGTCCGGTGCGAAGTGCAAGTGGATGGACGCCACGACGGTGAACGCGACGTCGACGCTGGGGATGGTGTGCGGGTGGGAGGCGCCGCGCACGACGTGCTTCCTGAGCTACGATGACGAGGGCAGCTGCGGTGCGGACCACGACTGCGTGTGGAGCTACTCCGCGAGCACGTGCGGGAACAAGGTGGGCTACACGTCGATCCAGAGCGGCCTATTTGCGGGTTCTATGATGATGGGTGGTATTTGTGGAGCACTGCTCGGAGGGTACCTGACGAAATGGCTGGACTACCGCAAGAGCTTCCTGCTGATCGGTGTCATCGCTTCGGTCGGCTCTATCCTGACGCACGTGGCGACCGGCATCTCTCAATACTGGCTGATGTTTGTTTCCCGCATCATTTTTGGATTCCCGATGGGATGGACCACTGTCACGGGGCCGCATTATACCGACAAGTTCGCTGTGCGCCGCTATCAGAAGACGCTGGGCACCCTCTTCCAGGTGTCTACTACGGTCGGTTCGTTGATTGCTGCTGTCCTTGGCATCTGTCTTGGCAACACGATCGCGTACGACGCGGAGCGTGACGCGAAGGTGATGGGCCGCTTGCAGGGACTCACGGCGCTTTCTACGTTGATGTGCATCCTGACGCTGTTCATGCCGCTGGTGACGAAGGACGGGTACTCGGTGTCGAATGCGAAGTACACCGCCCCGGAAGATGATGCGACCGCTGCTAAACCGGCGGCGAAGAAGTACCCCATTTCGAAGATGGTGGGTCCGCTGCTGATTGGCGTGGCGATGGGATGTACGCTTCATCTGACCGGCATCGGAGCGAACATGAACTTTGCACCAATGATCATGTCGAACCTTGGCCTGGATCCTCTCGTGGGCAACATCATCGTGATGGTGTGGAACTGCGTGACTGCTTTCGGCGCGATCCCGCTGTCGAAGAAGTTCACGATGCGGACGCTGTTCCTGTCCTGTGCAGCTATGGGCTCGCTGTGCTGCCTGTTCCTGAGCGGCATCCCTGTGTACCCCGGCGTGACGAAGTCGACGCTTGCGAAGGAGGTGATTGGGATCATCGGCATTGCGCTCTTTATCCTTGCGTACGATTGTGGCATTGCTCCGTGCTTCTTCGTGCTGACAGTGGACGTGTTCCCAGAGTCGTTCCGCCCGATCGGTTCGTCGTTCACGATGGGCGTAATGTTCAGTTTGAATCTTGTGATCAACATCTGCTACCCGATCGCGACGGAGGGCATCTCCGGCGGCCCGTCTGGCAACCAGGACAAGGGCCAGGCTGTGGCGTTCATATTCTTCGGCTGCATCGGCATTGTGACGGTGGTGATCGAGTACTTCTTTCTGCACCCGTGGGAGGATCCGGTTGATTCCGTTCCCTCCGAGGAGTAAGGATTGTTAAAACTGGAGCACCGATGCTGCTCTTATAGTATATCTTTTCTTTTCTTCTAAGCCGCCTCAGGTGTGCTCTGTGAATCGCACGTGTGGTTCTTCTGCGCGTCGCATGGGCGAGTAGCGGGGCAGCAGACGCGCCAGAGACGAGGTTGTTGCAACGCGGCATTGCGCATGTTGCACAGCACAGTAACTCCATCATATTTTCTTCTCTTTCTCGGTCAACGAAGCGCGTACTTCTCGCACGTTTGTTTTCGTTGCAAACGTACAGGAGCCGAAATATGTCTCCATTCAAAACGTTTTTTAATTGTTTTGTTTCTTGTTGTCTTTCTTCTTCTGTGTTTGGGTTATTTCTCTGTTCACTTCGACGCAGACATCGACGCCCTTGATGTGTTGCCTGGGCGAGTAGACGTGTCTGCGCGTAGTGTGTGAAGGAGAGCGCTATAAAGTGACTCCCATCGTTATTTTTATGAGTGGTCGTTTTCCTTTTACTATTGACAGATATTAAGGTTTCTCTCTCGCAAGAGCCCGACTCATTCAACGCCTGCGTTGCACGGAGCTGCAGCGAAGATCTCGATGATTTCCCTACGTGAGTCGCCATTGTTTCGTCAAAAATGTGTTATTTATTGTCGCGGCCTCAACCCGCCTTCCCTGACAAATGCGCCATGGACCCGCCTGTCGAAGCAAACCCTGAAAAGT